ATAGCTAAATCGAGATTTTTAACCACTTCTAGAATTTTTCAATAGCTAAATCGAGATTTTTAACCACTTCTAAAATTTTTCAATAGCTAAATCGAAATTTTTAGTTATCTCTAAAATTTTTCAATAGTTAAATCGAGATTTTCAACTACCTCTAAAATTTTTCAACAGTTAATCGAGATTTTTAACTCCTAAAATTTTTCAATTGCTAAATCGAGATTTTTAACTATCTCTAAAATTTTTCAAGTTAAATCGAGATTTTTAACCATTTCTAAAATTTTGCAATAGTTAAATCGAGATTTTGAACCACTTCTAAAATTTTTCTATAGCTAAATCGAGATTTTTAACCACTTCTAAAATTTTTCAATAGCTAAATCGAGATTTTTAGTTATCTCTAAAATTTTTCAATAGTTAAATCGAGATTTTTAACTACCTCTAAAATTTTTCAACAGTTAATGGAGATTTTTAACTACCTCTAAAATTTTTCAACAGTTAATGGAGATTTTTAACTATCTCTAAAATTTTTCAATAGTTAAATCGAGATTTTTAACTCCTTCTAAAATTTTTCAATAGCTAAATCGAGATTTTTAACTACCTCTAAAATTTTTCAATAGTTAATCGAGATTTTTAACTACCTCTAAAATTTTTCAACAGTTAATCGAGATTTTTAACTCCTAAAATTTTTCAATGGCTAAATCGAGATTTTTAACTATCTCTAAAATTTTTCAAGTTAAATCGAGATTTTTAACCATTTCTAAAATTTTTCAATAATTAAATCGAGATTTTGAACCACTTCTAAAATTTTTCAATAGTTAAATCGAGATTTTTAACTCCTAAAATTTTTCAATAGTTAAATCGAGATTTTTAACTCCTTCTAAAATTTTTCAATAGTTAATCGAGATTTTTAAATCTTGATTTAACTATTGAAACATTTTAGAGATAACTAAAAATATCGATTTAGCTATTGAAAAATTTTAGAAGTGGTTAAAAATCCCGATTTAGCTATTGAAAAATTTTAGATAGTTAAGAATCTCGATTTAACTATTGAAAAATTTTAGAGATAGTTAAAAATTTCGATTAACTATTGAAAAATTTTAGAGATAGTTAAAAATCTCGATTAACTATTGACAAATTTTAGAGATAGTTAAAAAGCTCTAAAATTTTTCAATAGTTAATCGAGATTTTTAACTATCTCTAAAATTTTTCAATAGCTAAATTGAGATTTTCAGTTACTTTCAAAACTTTTCAATAGCTAAATTGAGGTCTTTATCCCTAAAATTTTTCAATAGTCAAATCGAGATCCTTAATTACCCTTAAAGTTTTACTAATTAAATCGAGACTTAATTATTTCTAAAATTTTTTGATGGATAAATTGAGATTTTATTTATTTAAAAAAAATAAATTTGAATTTCTAGAATTACCATTGGTAAATTAATAGATTTATTTATGTTATTTAGCATAGTAAGCTATTTTCAATTTAAATTAAATGAACTAATTATTTAATCCAAGAATTTTACTCTTGAAAATTGAATATTAAAAAATTTTGTGACGGGCAGAAAATATTTTTTATGTTATTTGCTCGTTTTAGTTTTAAAGGAAAAATGACCTTAAATTTGTATTTAATTTTACTGTACATACTTTCCTGACTGTGTTTCAATTCCAAATCAAAATCAATTCCTGGGCTTCAGTCATTTATTGTCCATTTATCAATTAAAAAACGTTTCGGTGTTTTCCACCATCATCAGTTTCACTAAAATAACAGGTAGTAAAAAAAAATAATAAATGTTTTCATTAATCTAAAAAACAATCACAGTTTGTCAACAGCGTGTGTTATATAACACACGCTGTTGTGTGTGACGTTTGTGACGTTGACACGTTTAGTGTGTGACATAACAAGCTGTTGACAAACTGTGATTGTTTTTTAGATTAATGAAAACATTTATTATTATTTTTTACTACCTGTTATTTTAGCGAAACTGATGATGGTGGAAAACACCGAAACGTTTTTTAATTGATAAATRGACAATAAATGACTGAAGCCCAGGAATTGATTTTGATTTGGAATTTAATTTTACTTTAAATGTTGCTTAATCACATTGGTGAGTGTCTCACCTCATCAATCGGCAAATCAGACATGGGGGTTTTTCCTAATACGGCCGCATGCTGCAACTTGGCCAGCCTGTTTATGTCTTTCAACGTCTTGCTTACCATCTCGTCATTCTCAATGTCCAGCTCTGAATGCGTTTCGTACAAAACAAACTGGATCTAGAAACAAGTCAACCACTATTTCCTGCTGCTGCTGCTGTTATTAGTTGGCCTGCTTACTTGCGGCCTGGACATGGCAAATTTCAGCGTCTTCTTCTGCTCCTCTAGGATGCGCATAACTCTCTGCTTACCTTCTTTGGTTTCGTCCGATTCCGTCAAAACCTGCAGCATTGAAAGGTCGCCACCACGACTGCAAACCTTCATAAAATCGGCACCAATAAAATAAGTTCGTGATGGCAAATCAATTTTACCAAATCGATCGGGTCGGTAACTGCTGAGTAGCTGTTAGGTGGGGTTGCAAAAACAGCCACCACTTCTTCCATGTATGCAGCATCGGGGGGCGAATCTATGAGCCGATCGGAGAAGATTCTGATGTTCGTCACTCCGAGCTCCGTAAAATAGTGCTCATATTCCAATTTCCTTAAAAAAAAAAAAACAATCAATGATTTAATTGGGAACAAACCAAATTAAGCAGTAGTTGTTTCGAGCATAAATACCTTCTACCTGCACTGAACGCCATCAGTTTTTTAATTTTTTCATTGTGCGTGAGCAGCGTGGCCAGATAAGCGGTGGTTCTCGGCGAGTTTACATGGGTCTGGATTACGCTCCCAGTTAAACCCAAGTCGGCCAGGATTTTTCCGAAAGTTGCAGCTCCTCTGCAGAACGACTTGTCCTAAAAGAGGATTATTGTGCAAATTAATTGAGGAAATATGAAAAAGAACGTAAAAACAGCACACAAATTAGGAATGGTCGGTATTTAACGTAACCGCTAAAACAACACTGTTCCAAACGTGTAACCTGTAACAGTAGTTCCAGTTTTTTTCTATAGTAATTGTTATAAACGAAAAGTGATACACAATGATCAAGGCAACGCGCAACTACACACAACATAGTTTGCGTTGACAAATGGTCACTGAAACTGCTGCAACTGGATAGAGTTGGACGTTATGAGACGGTTCCAAAAATAACGGTTAAATCGGCTAACTGTAACTATGGTTTCAGGTTACATGTTTGGAACACTGTTATTTTAGCGGTTACGTTAAATACCGGCCATCCCTACCAAGCGCTCTATCAAGTTGCAGCAGTTTCAGTAACTATTTGTCGACGGAAAATATGTTTTATGTAGTTGAGCGTTACCTTGATGATAGTGTATCACTTTTCGTTTGTAAGAATT